CAAAACTGGTGTAATGTGCTCTCTTTTGCCTGTACTGGTTAAAAATCAGGCTGTTGCATTCTAGACCAGTTGTAGTCGTGCAATGGAGGTTTGGCTGATACCAAAGAGGAGCAAATTGCAGTAATCAAGCCTAGATGTAATGAATGCATGTATTACTGTCTCCAGGTTATTTTTGGACAATATGGGCTTCAGTTTAGACAGCCGCCTCAGTTGGAAGAAACATGATTTAGCAATCATGTTTACATGATTGTTAAGTTTCAGGGAAGGGTCCATTATCACTCCCAGATTAGTGACTCTGTTTTTCTGACAGGGTTAGAGTGGAAAGGTCGATGCAGTGGTTTGTGATCATGTCATTGGGAGGGAACAACATGACTTCAGACTTCTTTTCATTGAAACTTAAGAAATTTAAAGCCATCCAGTCCCTGATGTCAGCCAGGCAATCGAGCAGAGGTTGAATAGAGCATGTGCTATATGTCATGTGTACAAAATTTCCATCAGCCTTCCCTCCTTAATGCTCTCCTCTCAGGCTTATTTAAAATGCTCACAGCATACAGTTACTGCTGTCAGTCGTGACTGTAAGTCCCCAGGTTCCTTCAGGTGAATACTAAGCTGTTTCCAGACCAGATGGCAACCTATTCTTATCAGCGTATCATAGGCCTACTTTGTGGTTACTTTATTCAAATGGGACATGCTTGCAATATCTTTGGAGGCTTTTGTGAGGTAACCTAGTGATATTACACCACATTAACTTTCTTCTTTCATGTGACTGAACTGAAGGCTCTAGTCTGAGCCATTCCAAATAACAAAGTTTCTTGCTGTATACCTCAAGGGTTATACCCAGACAGCAGCTGCAACAGAGTTTTAACTGTAAAGCCCCCAGTATACTGCTGCGTACATCCATATGCAGAGGTACGCACGTACGTAGCAGAGGTACGTGCATACCCCCCAGCATACCCTTCGTGCAAAGCTCCAATTTTTACGACCGCATACGTGTACGCGGTGTCGCACAATAAACTGCCAAGCAACGGACTGTTTTGTATGTGACACCAATGCATTAAATTCCCCTTCTTCATCCCTGATCTGGCCTTTTCTTTTGTTTTTTTGCCATGAGGCAGTGATCTCTTCCTCCTTCGTTGATGCCATGA